AATTTCATTTGTTCTACAATAGAAGATCTTTAGAATGGATTTTGCATAAATCGGAATTGTCGATCACTGGACCCGACGAACACTCGGAGTTGAAATTTTAACCGGAATTGGAACTTTATACCCTGACTTGACCACCGAAGACGAGGCTTATCGCCTTTAAATTGTATAATGAAATGAAGACTATAATAAGACTAGAATAATGTACCAAGACTTGGCTGTATGGTGTAATACCTCTGCCTTTTCCTTTACGGGAAGAAGGAAAAAAAAACTTTCCTGTGAACATCAAATCAATACTTTGTTACGTGCCAATGCCAAAACGTCAAAGTTGCCTTAAACTTCTTTTTATTTTATTACATACTTTACAATACAGTAGTTACATACTTCATTGTGTGTAAACCTACGTACGCACGTTAACGTGTTATATTAAAACTTTATTCTGAGTAAGAAAAAAATAGGAACAGTTTTGGAAAAAAGAAGGTGAGGATTAAATACTATAATTCTACGCAGGCAGGTACCTGTTGAACAAGCTCACTACGTGATTAAAAAAGTGTATGAAAATTTCAGACCGTCGAAGTCAAAGCGACATGGAAGAAATGCCTCCCTCTGATAAGAATTCTGACACATCTCGTTTAATTGCACCTAATCCTACGTCAAAAACAAGCTATATAAATCTTGTGGGCAATGTGTGCGCCCTACTATGCGTGTGCATAGTTATTTATTGCTGCTTTGCAAGTGGTGTAACTTTATTCTCATTTCATCCAAGCTTAATGACCTTAGGGGTAAGTTTGTAGCACTACATTTCTTCACTTAATAATACCTAAAAGTTAAAGGTAACCAGGTAGGTTACCTTACAGTACCTTCCAATACTTAAATTTTACTAAAGTATACTAATATTGTTTTCAGTGGATGGTTTTTATGACCTCAGCAATTAATGCTATTACTCCAGGTGATTTGGCCACGGAATGGATGCCAATTCGACTTAGAAGTGCCCGTCACTGGGTAATTCAGTTGCTTGTTGGTATTATCATATTAATTGGTTTCTTAGTAATAATTTCTAATAAAATTATAATGGACAAACCACATTTTGCAACATTGCACTCGAAATTTGGTTTAGCATCTCTGATCTTTATGATTACAACTATGTTAGGAGGATTGGGCGCCCTTTACAGTTTAAAACTAAAGCAATATCTTGCTCCAATTTATATGAAATTGTTGCATGCTTCAGTCGGACTTTCTACATTTTGTCTTGGAATAATAACTATACTACTTGGCTTGTATTCGCAGTGGTGGCAATTTGGAGATACATTACGGTACACAAGTATGGTGCTTGTGCTTGCTGTGATGTTGTTAACAATATTACGGCCACTATTGAAAATATATTTCAGACTCAAAGAAAGGCTCGAATATAATAATTAAAAAAAATACATATGCATGTAACTACACAAAATGGATCTGTTAATTAATAAACAATGGTATTGTATGGTTTCTGTAAGTCGACATTGTACTGCCTATTTTGCATGTATTAATACATTATAATTACAAAAGAACAT